TGGTGAGCAATAAGGCTGTCACCTTCCCCAGGAGCATATTCAAATGAGAAAGAGCTGAGACACAGGCAGAAAACAAATAAATAAATGTTTGCGATGGAACAATAGTAATTGAAACTAGTGAAGTTCTCAAGGTAAGGCAGAGAGAAGAAAAATTGATGTGCACTTCATGTCCGGAGAAATCATGGGGCGCGTTGGAATTGACCCTGGTCTTGGAGACGGAGATGCTGTTTGAGGATCAGCTCTGCCACTTACTCGTTTGGTGACTTAAGGAAAATCTTGTAACTTCCCAAGTCTTTGTTTTTTCATCTGTAAAGTGAGCACGCTCACTCTAGCCCACACAGTTCTTGTGCAGATCAAAGGAGGTAATGGGTATGAAAGTGTTTATAAACTTCAAGGTTAACATGGTAATCTCTCTCTTTTTTTAATGTTTTTAAATTGATTTTAGAGAGAGAGGAAGGGAGAAGGATAAAGAGGGAGAAACAGCGATGATGAGAGCAAATCTTTGATCAGTTGCCTCTAGAGAGATAGAAACATCAATGATGAGAATCACTGATTGGCTGCCTCCCCCCCCCCCCCCCCTAGGGATTGAGCCTGCAACCCATGCATGTGCTCTGACCAGGAATTGAACCTGTGACCTCTTAGGTCATGGGTCGATGCTCTCAATCACTGAGCCACACTAGTTAGGCAATGATAATCTCAATAAACAATGTGTCCGGGAGATGAGAAGGAAGGAGAATAAGTGTTAAATCTGAGTGCTGTGTCTGATTTCCATGTCTGCTTATGAAAAATAAGCCTCTGTTTTCAACTAAAACATACACATTCATATACAGGGTGGGGTGAAGGTGGGTTTATGGTTATGAGTACAGGAAACACAGAGTTTATTCTTGTATTATTATTTATTGTATTCTTTTCCATACAAAAATACTATAAACCTACTTTTGCTGCACCCTATATATTTGAACATAAGCTTTAAAGGAATGTATAAGAATGACATGAGAACTCACAGGGATTCATAGCAATAAAAACTTTCTAAAAATAAATCTTTAATAATATATAGGTAAAGTGAGCGCTCACTCTAGCCCACACAGTTCTTGTGCAGATCAAAGGAGGTAATGGGTATGAAAGTGTTTATAAACTTCAAGGTTAACATGGTAATCTCTCTCTTTTTTTAATGTTTTTAAATTGATTTTAGAGAGAGAGGAAGGGAGAAGGATAAAGAGGGAGAAACAGCGATGATGAGAGCAAATCTTTGATCAGTTGCCTCCTGCAAGCCCACTGCCCCTCCCCCCCCCCCCC